TTATTTGACTATTATACCCCTCATTTGAATCCAACTTGCAGCAGTCATCACCTTCTCCGCGTGGGTTAATGGTCAATTAATTAAAAAAGCTGTGGCGTTAACCTGTAAAGCTGTGGCAATAACACCACCCCAGAAAAGAATCGAGAGATACAGGGCATTTCCATAATTTTATCAAAGAAAAAAAAAAAAAACGACGCAAATAATAATACAAAATTTATCCCTTTTTATACCTAAAATATAAAATTTCTCGCACCTGTGACTTTACCTATCTTGTTTTAGATGTATTAAACCGTTGGCATTTGTTAGAGTTTTATTTATTACAAAATAATTAAATTATTCTCATTTCTTTGCATTTTCTCATGTTAAAAAATAAAATAAAATTTTTAAACCAAGCATCGAGATCAATGTTCGTTTTTAAATATTAGTATTTAAGTTAAGCAATAAAAAACTATACAAATAAAAATACAAATTTTATCCTTCTTTAATTTAAGAAATATAAAATTTTTGAACCGAGCATTTGGGATTAATAATTTGTCTCTTAATTTTAATATTTGAATTGAGTTAGTTAAAAATTTAATTTTCATCAACTACTTAAAAATATTCTCCCTCCTCCGTGATCCCCCCTTGCATTTATGAGATTTGATAAACTTTTATTTATTTTTCTTAATGAACATACAATTTTTTTTATTTAAAATTTTATTAGATGATAATGAAATGATCACATATCAGAGGATCATTTTAATAGAAATAAAATAAAATTTCCATTTTGAGTTTTCTTAACTTGTGTCTTAAGATATAGATTAAAAATATTGAAAAAACAAAAGATAATATTTAATTTATTATTATTTAATTAAATTTATTTACGTGATATGAACTTTAAAATTAATATTTATTTTTATATTTTTTATATAAATTTATTATAAAAATATACTTTTAACTTTGTGTTTAACTTGTGCTTAAAAAGTATAAATTAAAAAAATCCTTATATTTTTAATCAAAAATAATAAAATTCATTTATTTAAACACCAAAAAAAATTTAAAATCTAATTCTCTATCTTCTTTCTTCATTATTTGCCTTATCTTTTGACTTTACGTGGGAGATATTTTTTTTTTATGTTGGTTACATAATAAGAGGTAATTCATATTCATTTTTTATCTCTTTCCATTCGTAAGGCATACTATTTAAACTCATGATCTCTTACTTTCAATAGAAGAAGATTTTCATTGAACTATTTAAATCATTGACTACATAAGAGATTTTGATAGGTGTTTTTACTATATAAATTAAGGGTATAATTAATGTTATTGTAATTAATATTAAAAATATAAAATTTATTTATTTATTTATTTTTAATAGATTTAATTTTATTTTTTATTTTTTGAATATAAATTTTAAATAAAAATTTAATAATTTATATGAATAATAATTAAATTTTGTTTATGTGAAGTTTTTATTACGTACTTTTATATGATTAAATAAAGTTTATATTTAAGAAATCAAAAAATTAAATTATAATTAATAAAACTAAACAAAAAAGAAGTAATAATAAAAAATCAAATTATAAAAAAACCTTATCAAGAATGAAAACAATACAATTACGCCAGAAAGTGTCATCTTTCTCTTTCTTTTTTTAAAAACAACAACCTCCACTAAGGGGAAGTTGTCTTTTCCTTTTTCTTTGAACTGGGGGAACTTGCATTTCATAAAAGAAAAAGAATGACATTTATTAATCCTACGTATAGAGAATGTAGTCATGCTATCTATGACTTTTAAAGGTTAAATAAATAGAATTTAATAAAAGAATAATTTCCGCGGCCACAATTACTACTTTCTGTAGTGTAGTGCAGTACCTGCTCAGCATAGGACAGCTAGGTCCTAAAGTCTTCTTTAGTTGGGT